TTATTGCTACAAAAAATCGAAGTCTGAGCAACTAGTTAAACTCTTAGCTTACATTCAAATACAGGTAGAATCTAAAATTGTTACTATTTTGGTAGCAGAACAGGGTATACCTGTAACTTAGGATCTTGCAGTGGTCGTCCTTGCTTGGGTCATTTCAAGATTGTGGTTTGAAATTACTTCTTAGGGTGACCTTATCTTAAATCTATTAAAAGGCGGGTGGTCACTTAAAATGTAGTTTCTTTTCTGTACATACTGAATCTACAAGCTATGTTTACAATCTTTGGGGTTTTTGTTGCTAATTTGGTCTTTAATGGCTTTTCATACACTTTGCTGAGTGTGAATGTGATCACTCAGATGAGACACTTCAACTGGAAACCTCACCGGTGTCAGTGAGGAGATGTAGCAGTTAGAAGTATTTATTACAGCCAATGGACTTTAGGACTTTTTCTGTGCAAAGTCTTTCAGTGTGAATGTGTCTTTCACGATTACAGGCAAAGCCTGTGTCTTTCTCTGTCACCAGGAAAACACAGGTGATAACCCTATATAAGAATTATTTTCTTTCCTCTTGGACTTTGTGAGGAAGTGTTTTGCCCCTTGTGCAATTAAGCAACTTTGTCTTGAGCAACATTTAAATTACTTTTTTTCCACTTTGAATGGAACACTGTGCCCAAGTAGAGTAAGGACAAAATTTCAAAACAATCTTCAAATGTATGAAGAATGAATGAGCCTATCTGAGTAAGAGGCTTTTCTGGCCTGCTTTTCTGAGCTGGATGTTTAATCCAGCAAAGATTTTCAAGCTGATGAGTAAACTCCCTTATTGGGGCAGGTGGGAGGGTGAATGATAAAACAATTTTAAAATTGGGTATACTGAGGCATGCCTCTTTAGTCATGTTGCCAATATATGTTGGAGCCCTAGCAAAAATTCAGCAGTCAAATGTCTTGCTTCTTGCTACAGATCAATAATTATGAGAAGTATTAAATTCCTGGGCGTGTGATCACTTGCACACACTGTGATAGGCTCTGCATGATACCTGGACATATGTGTCAGTTACGTGTTTGATGGATGTATAGTGACAAATCACTTGAGCAAAAGATCGCTTACAGAAAATTATCAGTAGCTGCATCAGACTGCAATGAAAGAGATCAAGAAGTTGCCAGCGATCTTGTAAGCTTTTGGCTTCTGTATAGCTGCAGGCAAAAAAAAGGTAAACTGAGTATTGGGTTACACTGCTGGGTTACCCTTCGTGCAGGGGCATGCCATATGGTACGTGCAAGGCACTCTGTGCCAGCGGAGTAATGCAGAATAGGAATCTAGTTAACCTGGCTGCTGTCGCTTCTTGGTAACCTTCAGTACTCAAGACATTGCAAGAGAGGATTTTTTTTAAATTTTTTTTTTTAAAGCATTGTGTCAATACAGTCTGTTCAGCAGAATTGTGTTGCACCATACAAAACCTGATGTTCCTTTCCAAGGGTGGTTGTACTTCAGTGATGACAGAGCAGATCCCTAATATTAACTTGTGAATACTTCTGGATATTTAATGCAAAGTTTACTATATACTGAAATGTAGTATTATCTGCCTAGAGAGTGCCAGGCAGAAGTTGTTAGATATCTGGAAATTAATCAGGGTTTGAATTCAATTTATGTATTAAATTAGCAATTGTAGATTTCTACTATTTTTTTTTTCCTGCAAGAAAACTAATTATCAGACACTGTCAACTCCTCTCATGCCTCAATTTAAGTAGAATGATACTTTGTCATAAGTGCTGTTACATTTTCTTGTGTGTAGAAAAACGTATGCCTGACAATTGAAATGGGCTTTAGGTATGTAAAATGTGTACTTCCATACATATAGCTTTGGAGAAGGACTTCTTCATTTAGCTTTATTCTGCACAAAGTTCTTGCAGTTTGGTAAAAACTAATAGTTCTGATTGTAAAAGGTACATAAATATTGTATTACAAATACTGTGTTACTTCAAGGTGAAACTGGATTTTTATGGATTGATTTGATGCTAAAATTATTTCTGTTTGGAGCCATTTGAAGTAATTCTTACAATTAGCTTTTATTATAAAAGCATTCTTTTATCACAGAGCTCCTTCCTAAGTTTCTATTTAAAAGTAGTAATGCATTTCCTTCTGAATTTATCCAGTTATCACATAAATGGGGTAATATGTATTTTTGTACATATGTGTCCTACGTATTTGTTTAATTGCATCTGTATGTTCATCTGAGAACTGACCGTAGGTCTTTAAGTGATTATTGAGAGGAAAGAAAACTCAGTGTGTGTGTTTAATACAATGCACAGGTGGCATTAGAAGTCTGCAGGGTAGTTTGATAGTCATAAAAATGGACGGCAAAATATACACGTTGTGATGTATGTTTATGCTATATTCACAAATTGTATGAAGTCTCATAGTGACTTGTTTCCTTAATTCTGCTGAAAAGTTATGAAATAGTCAGAATTCATCAATTACTTCATTCTTATGCTGAGGTGTTAGCTTGTTGAATGCAGCCTTTACTACTAAGTTTCTAACTTGGCAAAGCTACTTTAAATTCACTGTTCATAGAAATAAGTGGACATTTGTCATGGAATATTAAAAATACAAAATGTGATGTCTTTTTGTATGAACGTATTGGTATATAGTATGTGCTCCTGCCAGCTGTGTTATACAGTGTTTTCACTAAAGAATTTGAACACAGGCTCTAACATAATATTAAAAAGGTGTTTGTTATTTTATCCATTAGCTATAAAAAATATTATAAAATTTATAAACTTTTAATTAAGGTAACAGGGTGCTAAAAATAAAGATATAAACAAGGAGGGTAAGATAAGGTTGCACAGCAATATATATGGAAGAAAATATATTTCTGGTGTCACATGGCTATCATTTCATCCTCATCTGTACCATGATTGTAGGAATGTAGCTAAGAATCTCCATATTTGAAGCAGGCTATATGTATGCAGCAGCGCTAACTAACACAGAGAGAATTGTGCAAGTTTGTCTTATGCTGCAAACTAATAGTTGATTTGTTGCTTTTAGATTTCTCATAACTTATGAATGTAGTGTTCTGACAAATGGATACTTAAGGCAAATCGGTTGGGAGCTGGTGGCAAATTAAATTAACATTAATTGAATTGTGAACTATGTTGTTGCTCCTGTGAGGTGCTCTGTAAAACTGCAGAGTGTGATCCTACGCTACTGAAACCAATGGTAGCTTTTCTGGCGATTTAAATAGGTGTGGGGTTTGGCTTAAAGCCACTTGAGTTGCACTAAGTAGGCCTGTGGCATCGTTAGAAAAGTTCAGTTTAATCCCTTTTTGGTGCTAAAGTAGGATTAAAAATAATAGAAATTCTCTGAAGAGTAAGCTGAACTCCTTGGCATGTTTATATATTTGATTTGAGATGCTGGGTAAGACAAGTTTCATTTTTTTAAAATCACTATTCAGATAGGAAATTCTAGCATTTATCTGTTTTTTATCATTATTTTCATTCACAGCTGTAAGGGAGCTAACAAAATTTGAAAGTTGATTGTGGCTCAACAATTTTTCTAATATTTGATCATTTACATAAATGCAGAGGAGACAATATTATTGTTGAAAAAGTAGCCATAAGTTTAGGGCAGTAATTATGTAGTTTTGATTCTTGTTTTTAACCAGGGAATCTAAGACTAAAGTGTCACATGTTCAGACTTCCAAAATCCTCATTTCAGTAACTAAACAATTACAGTCAAATATGTGATTGTCTTTAATCTCATAAAAAATATTGGAGTAGCTAAGATTGTTAGTCAGAAATTTAACTCAAAAGATGCTTTCTTATATAATCACCTGGTGCCTTTATATGCTTCTTGCAAAATATAATTCCAGAGCTTCACTTATGGAGTTGTAAGAACTGAAAATGTACAACACTTTTTTTTTTCTTGAGTCATAGATCGTTAACTTTTTACTTTTCTTATTGGTATATTTATAACTCTGGAGTCAAGTAAGTCTCTTTCCCCAAGCTTCATTTACCTTTTGTAGCTGAACTTGCTATAGTTTGACTGTTGCATCTATTTCCTTATTTCATGTGCATCTGGCAGCTTTCTGGATTTAAAAGTCTCATCGTGCATTTGTTATATTCTTCTGCATAGCCTTTTTTTGACAAAGAGGTAGAAATATTTTGACAAGTATTAAGGAGGGGTACTGTCTTCATCTTAAGTACAGCTTCTTAAGTTTTCCAATAATGTATGTGTAAAACGACTTTGCATCCTTTTGACTGCTGCTTTTTTTTTTTTTTTCCTTCTTTCTTCCTCCTGAATCAATAGGTGCTATAAAGTGAACTCAAGGGGTCACAGTAATGAAAGTGTGAATCTGGGTTTGTCCCTTGCTGGACAATGTGACTGTTTTCAGTTTGGTGAAGAGAAAATAGCAGTCAGGATTATTTTTGCTTTCCTGGAAACAATCCCTGTATTTAGCACAGAGGTAATTTACTTTCTCATTTGAAAGCAAAGGTGAAATAAAAAGAACTTGCTTTTTCAAGTTGCATGTGTAATTGAAATTACCTTTGTGGCCAAGAACTGAAGTCACTGTTGATTCTCTGAATCACATTCTGAAAAGTGCTATGAAAGGCATGGTTTTATTTTTCTGGCAAAGTTCTGATTGATAGGCCTGTGATATTTTGATATCTAGAAATGCAGACTAGTCACAACAATTGAATTGACTTAGAAGTTCTGAGTGCTTGGTTTCTATTGTTTTGATTCTTTTCCTCTGTGGCAGTTTGTTAGACACCCTGTGCACACTGACTTATCTGAGCTGCAGTCGTATTTTGTTACACACTAGTAAGGCAGAAAGATGTGATCTGAAATCATCACAGGCTATAACCAAGAAATCTAGTTTTATCAAATTGTCATTGTGATGTATGCATATTTAGAACTCTTTTTGACCGAATAATTGAAAGCACACTTGGGAAAAAAGTTCTCGATGTGCTAAATACCCTCTTTTTTTTTTTTTTTTTTTCCCTTTCAGACAAAATCCGGAAACTACCTTTGAAGTATATGCAGAAGTAACCTATTCAGGAATCGGTTCCATTGGGAAAGGTACCGTTTCGCACTGTAACTCTACCTGTTTATCGCCTGAAACTATTCTTAAGAACCGTGTGTTGTGAGAGAGTGAAGTTATCTTTAAAATGTTGAACAACATGTATATCTTAATCACTGGTTCTGTGCAGTTTTTTATAGTTTGGACTAATAATGAAGTTCCTGATTGTGTGCAATTTTCTCATTTCTTTGACTGTTTTGCCTTTTTCATCTTTTAAAATAAAACTTCATTAAGTTGAAAAAGTAAATGCGTTTTCAGATTTGTGTTTGCTGCCCTTATGGGTAGTTTTAAACCAAAAAAATACTTTAAAACTTGTGTGGGACTTAGTTTTGCTTCTTTCTTACTTGTCTACGGAAGTATTTTTATCTTGTTCACAGAATTCTTCTTTTGATCAGATGATTTTATCTAGAAATAAGCTGTGAACACAGCTTATGATTTCGTTAACTGTTTTCACCAAACATTGTTATCAAGCCATAATTACACAAATATTTTTTGTAATATTATTTCTGATAAGTATTGCTATGTTTATGCTAAATGAATCCCATAACTGGTGAAACCAACATGTAAATACATTTGTGAGTTTCTGATTGCATTTTGTCCTAAACCTGAGGAACTTGATGAAATAATCAGGAAAAGCAAAGGCTGAAATTCATAATCACTGTTTTGTGAGTTCTAGAATGTTACCAGAAGGAGGGATGTCAAAGTTAAATAATTGTGATGAGTCAATGTATACTGAAGTATTATTTATCTTTTATGAAATTAGCATGAGTGTATTGTATGCATGTCATAATGAATCAAGATAAAGGATTTTTATACTTTGTTGACTGGAAAGCCACTTACCTCTTTTTATATATCTGTATTTGTTTGCTACAAACGGTAAAAGTCAAATAGCTGCAACTCTTTCCTTTACTGCCAGCGCCTCCGTAGGAGTTGTAACTGGAATACAGTTTTGGCTTGTCCTACTGCTATATGCCATCACGACTATTTGATGTAACTGCAGGAGCCCTTTTAATAACTAGGCTTTGTTTCTGCACATCTGACCTGGATTCTAGTGCCAGAAAATCTGAACAAATTTGACCATAAACATTACATTGTACAGTACTAGTGTCTGGGTATAATCTTCTCTTTGAAGTTTGTTTGCATCCCCCTGGAGGGATTAATTCCCTGCTGTGGGAAGGTGGGTTAAAAAGCACGGAAACTACTTTACAGGTTTTTAATTGGAGAATTTAGTATACATTTTGTTCTATAAACTAACTGATTCTGTGGGAGTTTCACTGACTTGTGTTTTTAGGTTTGTTGTATGCACTTGTAGGTACAAAATCTTCAGAAATTGTTTTTAGTGAGTAAAAAAAATGTAGTGATTGTTTTTATAACTCATATATTCCAAAGTTATCAATTCTCTCTGAATTATCTTTTAAAAGATTTTTCCCAATCAATTTTTGTATACCTAAGAGGCACCTTTTATTCTGTCCTTCTGTTCTAAATGAAGGTTGTTGGTTGATTCTCTGCAGCATCAACTATATTCAACAGCTGTGCTTTTATCCCAGGGAAATCGCCATTCTAGAAATACAGACCTAGAGACCTCCATGTAGTCTTTTTCTAATTCTTGGCTAGCTGTTCTCTGCCAGAAGACCAGTCAGGAAAGGTGTGTTACCTGGTGAGGAGCAGTTACTGTTAAGAAAAGCAAAATATATAAAATGTGTGTAAGGAACAAATTATCAGACATGTTTAACAAAGTTTTTCAAAGTGAGAAAGTAGTGAAGGGTGTTTTCCGTCCCTTACTTCTTGCTGAAATGGCACATACTGACTTGTGTTATTAACTACTGACAGATAATTGTATATTCAAGTAGCTTTATGGCTCATGTAAATGTCAAAAATCTTGCAAATGCTTATTTGGTTAATAACTTTTGAAACTAATGAATGCAGTATTATCCAGTGACTATCACACAGAATCATACAGTCATTTAGGTTGGAAAAGGCCTTTAAGACAGAGTTCAACCAGAAACCTGACACTGCCAAGTCAACCCCTATCCCATGTCTCTACATGTCTTTTAAATAACTGCGGGGATGGTGACACCACCACATCCCTGAGCAGCCTGCTGCAGTGCTTGATATGGAGAGTGCCCTCTTAGTTATCCAGGTGACTGCAGAAGGAAAAAATCTGTTTGGGGCTCCAACAAAGACACCAGTAAACTGGAACCAATTCAGTGGAGGGCCACCGGGACGGTAAGCCAGCTAGAGTACTTACACTATGAAGGGAGGTTGAGAGTGCTGGGCTTGTTTTAGCCTGGAGAAGCCTTCAGGGTACATGAGTAGCAGCCTTCCATACCCATGAGGAGTTCATCAGGATGAGAGATGCAGGCTCTTCCCAGTTGTGCGTGGCAGGAGGACAAGATGCAGCGACATAGACTGGATCAAGAGGCTTTCTGACTGGATGTCGGGAATGTGTTCAGAGTGAGGACGGTCATGGGTATTGGACCAGGCCGCTCAGAGAGATTGTGCGTTCTCCATCCTTGGAGGTTTTCAAGACTGGACTGGATCACAGCCTGAACAACCTGCTCTGACCTCACACCTTATTGGCCAGCAGATACCAGTAACATATTCTGGATGCCATCTATAATTGCATTAGTTTTGCCTTTCTGCTGTTCTACTTAAGTCATTAAGTATGACTAGGGAGAAATCAATAGACATTTGTTTTAGTTGACACTAAAAAATTGTTATAGCACTTCTGAGCACTATGTGCAAGGTTTAAGGTCTTGCCATTGTTTCTGTTAGTATACTGCTTTATGTTGTGTTTTACTGTTCACCCTAGCCTAAGAAAAATGTATGAAATGAACTTGTTTTCAATGCTTTTCGTATTCAAGGATACCAAAAGTTTTGCAGCAGAGGATGCCTGTGCTGTTTGTTTTGTCACTGGTGTAGCTGATGCTTCTCAAATTCAAGCAGCTAGAAGGGTACCCGTTTAGATCTAACCTGGAAATGCTAAGTTCCCTGGTGTTAGGGCAGTGTGTGTTCTGTAATATAGCACATTCCTAAGAGAATAATATCGAGTGTTCTAAACTAAAGCTACAGATTACAGTTTTAACTTATTTTAGTAAGTTTTGATAAGTTTGTGATTTTGGTGTGTGATCTCATTCATTGGAATTGTTACATGCAGTGCATAATTTTAGAGCAAATTGTAGATGCTTTGGATAAAGTTGTATTTATTACAGGATTTATTTTCCAATTTTTAAACTCCGTGTGAAGGAAGGGAAAATACGTTTTTTGAAATTGTGAAGCCCTTCTAATGGGGGGTTGCATATTTGTTATGGTATCTCTTAATAGTAAAGCTTAACAGAAATTGAGATAGTAAATTACAGAGAACTTCTATTGTTACTTTTACAAATTATAACTGCTTAAGTTATCTTAAGCACTGCTAGAAATGAAGTTCCATACTGTTGCCATATTGTGAGCTAGCAAGCAAAGTGCGTTGGAACTGTGTTTTTCTTTTAAACCTCAGCTAAAATATTGGTTTGGTTTTTTTGCGTTGCAGAAGTAGAAAGAATCTAGCAATTTTAGTTTAATACCTATATAAAGAAAGTGAAAGCATACTAACTACTTAAGAAATCTCTTTTAACTTTTAAAGTACTTTATGATCTTAAAACTGCTGCAAATTGTTCATCAGAAATATGATGTTATAAATTTAAGGATCTTGCTAGACCTCAGCCAAGGATTCTCTCTTGTTAGATGGGGCTGGGAGGAGAGTTGCAGTCTTAACTGTCAAACTGGTCACGTAGAAAAAGATAATTTGTTAGTCTAAAGCAATCCATCAAAATAGTCTCTAAAGTATGAACATTTGAAAGTGAATGCTCACTAGAGTCACCTCCTCCACACCCCTCTCTGGGAGGATGTAGCATGCTTTTGTGTGGGGTTTTTGTGTTCTCGCCAAAGCAGACATTATAAAAGTGTGTCAAATCTGTAGCTTTACCATGTAGTGTGCCAAAAGGCCTTCCTCTCCAAGGACCTCATCTTTCATCTTTTTGTGAGTGTAGCATAAATTCTTGCTGTGTGTTCAAGGAAAAAGCTGAAATGGTTTAGTACAGCTAAAGGATTCCTTTTTTTTTTTTTTAAGCAAGGTAAGTTAGAAGCTGAAATGAGATAGCATGGACAAAGTGTAAGTGTTAGAGTTTAACAAATGTTCACTGGATTAGTAAAGGAAATGTAGTTTATACTGCTTCTTTTATGACAGAATTTAAAAGGTCTTGCTCTGAGACTTGGCCATGTGCTTCCTTCTGTTCTCAAAAACATACCACTAAGTTGAAAAGGGAGATGAATCTTAGAAGGAAACTATTAACTCCGAGGTAGTTTATCATTGTTTGAGAGAAAGGATGAAATTTGCATTTGAATTGGCTCTGAGAGTAGCATGTACTGCTAATCTTGTTCCTACTAGAAGCTTGTGAGTAGTTTAAGTACTTCCTTCTTTACTTTTCATGTTCTAGCCTTGTGCTGTAACAGTTCTCTCCTTCCCCTCCTTCTCAGCAGATCACGAAAGTTATAACTTAAACTAATCAAAGCTCTTTACTGGGAGAGTACGTGCTTGGGCCCTAAAATTGCTCTACAGTTGTCACTATGGTTCCCATGGTAGGACTTCCACAGGTAGCAAGAGCTAGCAGGCTTCTGTCTTTGTAAAATAGCCATGTAGCTACTGATTATCATGATCTTTGTGTCATATGTTGTCATTTTAGATACTAGAGCAGTACCTCCCATAGAGATCAAGTATTTTCTTGAATGTGAGCAAAGTTACTGGAGTAGGATTAAGTTAAGGGCTGGCGATTCAAAAGTTTGTAAGCCTCAACAGTATCCTCCTGGAGCAACATTTTTCTTTTTTAAGGTGGAAACATTTGTGGGTTGAGGTGTGCCTGTTGTGTATTGAGAAACAGATAACACACTGAAGGTTTAGGAATAACAAAGGAAGTGCAAAATTCAGGTTTTTCACCATTAAATAAAGGCTTTCTGTTGA